CCGCCCCCGCCCGGCTCCAGCCCGTCACGGAGATGGTGGGCGCGTACGACAGGTACTCCCACACCTGCACAGGAAGAGATGGCTCCGGACATCGACGGATATCACTGCAGTCCCTGTGATCCCTGATGTCCCTACGGTGACAGGGGTTTCAACACTATCTTGTCAGCTAGGTCCAATTCAGTCGCTGTCTGGAGGAGAATTCTAGGTATAGGCTGCTCTGATCGGTAATTTTCTGAGGTTTCTCAGATAATACCCAGGCAAATGCTGGAGCATTACTCCAAGCAAACGAGCAAAGGACCGCGCGCGATCTTTCCTTCCTCCTCCTTGTTCATCCTCATATCTTACACACACTTACACAAACATGCACTACACTACCACACATGCCAGGAGACCGGTCGGGAGCTAGAACGTGCCCCGGTTGGAGCGGTGCCCAGATGGTAGGAGATACCTGGTTGGGGAAACCCCGCTCGCCAACATTAGGTCGGCGCTACATTGTCATCCAGCGGGGGAATATCACCAACTCGCGAACAAAACATGCACTACGCGTACAGGACTAATGACTTTAGTATTTGACGTTTGAGTCACTAATAATCAGTGAAGCAACCCACACCTGCCAAGCATCACCGAGGAGGAGTTAGCCTTGTCACGGGTAGCTCTAGGTGCCGGGGGACATTTATCTTTTCACAATTATTTCTTTTTTTTACTACTAAAGTTTATAAGAGATTTTACACAATTTTGATGATAAAAAAAGTCAAGACAGTTCGTGGAAAGAAAAATAAATTAAGAAAATATTAAGCGCGTTTAATTTAATTATTAATCATTTCAATATTACATTTCGTTTTAACGGCGTTTTAAAATATTTATATTTTGCGGGATCTGTAATTTAATCCCTATCGTACCACGCGGTTTTATTTATCAAGATAGTAAAATCTTGTAAAATATAACATTAAAAGATATTCCCAAAGCCACGAACAGCCATGTAGTGACACGGACCACACGCTCTAGAAATAAAAGAGCCTCCAAAATTCCTTAACTACATGGCTTCCTGTGAATGTTTTCACATTCACCCATCTTATGAAATTAAATTCAGTCAGATAAAACGAGCATCATCAAGTTGTGTTAAAGAATAAATAATAAAATATACATGTATGTTTATATAATTGTTATTAATGTAATAATTGTGCACTTAAGTACTTTAAAGCTGAGAAAAAGCACCAAATAACCTAAAAATGTCCCTCATGGTTCCTTGACTACAGCACAATGTAGACTGTTGCTCGCTTACCTTGAGTAAGTGTCCCCTCCCCTAGGCGTTTTGGCTCACCAGCTGCATGAGGAAGTCGGGGTCGAGGCGGCGCAGGTAGTCGACGCCGTAGGGCAGCGCGCCCACGCGCCGGAAGTGAGCGTCCGTCGCCTCGTCCAGCTCGGCCAGCGCGCGCGCCGCGTCGCCCGCCGCCAGCTGCGCCGACATCAGCAGCACCTGCGCGCAGCGCGCAGCGCACGCTTTCACGCTCTGCGCGGCCCAGCACTCGCTAAAGCACTGGTGCCACAGCGACCTCGGACGGGGCTGTTCTTTCACCCCCTATCCTCACCACATCATGTCATCTTCACACTTACCGTTCCGTTAAATGAAACTATGGTCGCTAATGACCTACATGTTGATGCAACCTTAAATAATTCTTTTAAATGCACCTTTGCGAGAGGAAGTGCGCACTTTACGCGTAAATTGGGACTGTTGGCTTACTGCTGCAAACGTAATTCCTGAATTAAAGGAGGTCATCTACTACATATTATTGGCGAATTACCTTCTTAAGTGGAAAATTATCTAATATTGTGTGTGACAAGAAATTACCCCTCCCGTCCCAAAAAAAAGTCGACGCCCGCCCCACTAAGAAGAGCAGGGTCAACCAAGCCCCAGAAACTTCCTCAAAATGTTCATTAGGCGGAAGATCTGCAAGTGAACACCTAAAAGAAAAACTTCAGGACTCACCTGACACATTTTTTAATACACCATTTTGCAATTTTCTTGAGTTTAGGTCAGCATTGAACGTCTTTTAACATGCCAACTTTTCGGCTTTTATTCAGCCTTCACCAGGACTATAACAGAATGATTTTCCTTGTTCACTAAATACAATTAATGTAATACTCATCTAATAATAACCTCTATCACAATTTTGAATAATTATGGACTCGTCATTTTACTCCGGATCTCTCAGTTTTTTTAGATGAGTGTTGAGATAAGTGAATTAACTGTATATAGTGAATAAGAAAATTCCTCGGTTATAGCCCTGATGAAGGATGAATAAAAGCCGAAACTTGGCGACACAAGTTGGCTTAATTGACTTTTAAAACACATACTATGTTATTGACCTAAACTCAATAAAATTTCCTTGTTTGTTGTGACATTTCGGTGGCAGAAAATGTAATTTCTTTCTAGAAACAAAACACGAGATCAAATCAATATTTGTTCTCAGAATTGCCAAAAAAATTGGGCGAAACTTTAAAAATGAATGGACTTAGATCCCAAATTAATTCCAATAATTTTTTTTATTATTATCTCTCATCGCCTCGCCCCCTTGATGTCAATCCTGGCTAGGACCTCGAACAAACAGTTAATACTGGAATACGAAAAAAAAAACGAGCGCAGTAGTCTCTGACGCTTTGAACTGAGTTAATTTTTTTTCTTGTAATTCGTTAATTAGAATTTTTAAGTGCGTTAGCACGACGCCCAACGGGAGGGAGGCTGCGAGCGCAGAGTACCTGCGCGGAGGCGTCGTCGGCCTGCAGCGTGCGCAGGAAGTGCACCTGCTGCGCCGCCTGGTCGCCGCCGCCGCACGCCAGCTGGCACAGCGTCACGCCCGCCAGCGCCTCCGCCGACGACTCGTCCAGCCGCGACGCCAGCCGGTACGTCTGGATGGCCTGCGCCCCGCCCCTTCACCTGCCACTATTGCCTTGACAACCCCGACTCACGGACAATCGGACTTGAGTAAGTGCAATATAGACAAGCGAGAAACTTCTATCAGTCACATTAACTTCACTTACTTGTCAAATTCATGATCAATTTAATGTGCCACATCGCACTGGTAAAGTCTGGCGTATTCGCAAAAAGGGCAATTTGTTAAGAAGTTCAATCTACAGAAGTATTACGCGACCCGCGACCCTCAACGTGAGTAAAATTAAGAAGAGCGAGTCATAATCCTATGGAAACATGAAAAAATTTAAGAGAGCGGGAAAATGAGTGAACCTGCTCTTCGATTTAGCTACACAATTTTAAAATAATATTAAAATATCAATATCATATTTAGTGATTATTAAGACAATTGTTTGATCATTTGCATTCGCTCCAATTTGTTCTATTGTGATGGTGGCGTTCGAAACTTATGACAAGCATACCCTTCAAACGAAGGAAGCATTGTTGGGTGGCCATGCCTTGTCTTAACCGAGGAACCGCCGCCGCTACTGCCGCTGCATCGTGTTATGAACTACTTTTAAATTTATTTGCGACTAAACTGTTCGTCCGACGTCGTTGGCAGTCTTCACTTCACACTCGAAAATAAACTGAATTGAAAGGCAGAAAACAATTTTCATTTAAACTATTGGATTAAAAGAAAAATAAAAGTATGAACGTTTACTCTTCGTTTAGTGAGGGGTTTTCAAGCTGAAGTGTAAGGCAGAATTTGCAACATTGTAATATGATGTTACCATTACTAAAAATACGAAAAAATATATGTTTTAGTTCCACTAGTCGTTCGGAGCAATTGGTGTGGTATTTTTAGGGTTTGTGATGTTTATTGGGGTCTCATTCCTTAACGTCTCCCTGAAAGAATCTACTCCTGCGCCACGAGATTGGAGAATAAATTAAAGCAAAACGCATTGTAAGTTCTACAATGACAAAATCAAGGTTGTTTTGTTATTTCCGGTGGGCGAAGACCAAAGTCCCGTTGCTAACCTGGATAAGCGTTGAGAAACGAACTGTGCCCTAAAAGCATTAGGTTAGAAGGTCTTCTTCTCGGTATAGTGAGTCCATTCCTCATCGAGAGGGTATTTCCAAATATTCTGTTATTTTTATTGATAGGCCCAATTTGCATCTTTCTCGTACATTTGGTACTCATCAACTCTCAATATTCGAAACAAGAACATTTTCGTTTCTTTGTCGAATTTCCATCAGACCAGTTCTGGCCTTCGCTTCGCAACAGCCAGGCGTGTCGCGTGGACATTCCAGAACGTACCTCCGAGATGCGCCCCTGCAGGAAGTACTGGTAGCCCAGCTCCACCATGATCTCGGTGCAGTTGCTGCACACGTCCACGGCCTTCTCCGTGAGGCGGAAGGTGTAGGCGAGCACGGAGCGGTTGCGGCCGCACAGCCGAGAGAAGAGCTGCGCGCTCTGCAGGAAGAGCGCGGCGTTGCTGGGCTCGTGCTCGTCCAGCTCCGCCAGCAGCCGCTGGATGAACGACACGGCGTCCGCGTAGTTGCCGTACCTGCGGCGCGGAGCGCGGCAACGGCCTCACTTCCCTACTCAAGATACAACTAGAGGGGCTACAACAGCACGTGATTTATCGCCTTCTAGGAAATGGTTTCGAATATAAAAAAATCATACATTGAAAATGTCTCAATTTGTTATCTCTTCAGTGAACGTTTCTCGCTTCACTCAGAAATTTAATTTACGCTGTAATGTTATTATTCTTTGCACAATAAAATCCAAATTTCCAAAAGATAAATTGCGTCCACCTTAGTTACCAGTATTATTAATATTCATACCCAGATAAATAATTTAATTAAAATAAAAATCTTTCAAACTAAGCAAATATTTTAAACTACTAATATTAGCGATGGTTTAATGAATTTACAATTAACGATGGTGCCAAAACCTGTAGTGACTATTAACTAAATTATACTTAAGCTCTTGAAAGGCCTTCTGGCCGAACAATAAATTAATAAAAAAATAACGAAACATATTATCATACTTTTTACTGCAATTTATTACGAAATTTTAGCTATTTGATTTTAATTTTGAGAAAGATTTTTAATCCATGCTTTTATTAAGAAATTATTCTATGGATAATTACTAATTAAAGCGCATGTCAAAATGAAAAATAAATAGCCTTAAGCTTAAAAAAGATTGGCTAATAAAATTAACAGAATGAAAAAAGAGATTACTTATAAAAATACATAGTTGATTAGGAGAACACATATCCTTCTCAATCACAAATTAAAATCACTTAACTACACAAATATTTTCCGAAATATTAAACAAGTACTTAACATTATGTCATTATCCTGTCAGTTTATTCCGCCCCTAATTAAATAAATGTTGCACCTCATACATTGAAAGTAAAGGTAACTTCTTCATACAATGTTATCCTAAATTTACATATTTTAAACTTTAGATGCAATGAATTTTTTAATAAAACCTTTAGGAAATAGCACAAATTGTTTTGATTCTGTAAATCCCAAATTTCTAGAAGTTTGATAACTTTCCATAAACTGCAAACGCATTGCATCAACCGCTCCCCAATGACCGTGAAGTCAATCGCGCATGAGAGATTGTATTCTTTTTCTTGGGAGCTGGGAGATGTTGTGCATATTTTATAAAACAATATTGTTTCGTGAACATTGTTTGAAACCCAGAATATATGTTAATTCCGCATATAAGGATAACAACTACCCAGAAGGGTCAAAATGACAACACAACTTGCTTGACTGTCCTTTGTTTCCCCCTTCGTTCTACTTGGCGCTTGTACCTGGCGCAAAGGATTGTCCAAAAATAGTGGAGTAAGAATAGTTGCACTGTTACTTGCTTCAGCTCGGTTCAAAGGGAGATCGATGGCTAAAGAAACATTGTGTGCGTAAACGAATACTATGTGCATTCTCATAGGCATTTATGGAATATGAGTTGATCGATTATGAGATTTTGCATAATGCATATGCACGGGTGAGGACAGATATCCAAAAATCTCTTCATCTCAATTGGGTCTTTCAGAGCAAGGATTATTATCTTCATCTGGAAGGCCCAAAGGTAACATTAAGCAGTTCATCAATTGTGCATGAACTCAGAAATGTATGACGAAGAAACAAGTATTACCAAATATTTTTTTTTAGATGAACATTTCACAAGACAGTCAGTGTGTAGAGTAAATATATTTGAACATAGTTTCAAGTTAAACTGAACTAAACCTAATATGGAAAACATTCCTGAAATTTGAGTCGCTTAAAAGGCTTTCAATTACGGGAATCACATGTCATTAACTGCTGGTTTAAAAAGAAATGGCAGATTAGTCAACAAAATGATATATCTTCATCACGAACATTCCTGGTGATTTTCTAAATAAACTTTTCATGACATGAAGAGTGTATTATCAATATTGAAACGATCTACTACTACGAAAGACAACTACTAGCTTTCATACATTTTAATCACTCACTACTTACAAATAATTTATTCACA